ACAGTACTATTATTTATATTATGGTGTAGTACAATGATACAGGAAGTTACTAGAATGCCCCTGATTAGTGATGGGACACCCAGACAACTTAAAACATTAAACATTAGGCCCATTAACAAAGGCCCAGTACAGGACAACTTAAACTTAAGTATAGGCTAATAAGAACTCTTATCAGCCGAATACTCATACATACAAAGACTTCAATCCAACACAGGGCTGCAAGGCATCATCACCTACACCAATGGAGGCCCCATCAGCATTTCAATGATCCCAGCAGCCCATTGCTTGATGACTCAACTCAGTACAGACGGTTAGTGGGCCATTTAGTTTATCTCATAGTTACTCGGCCTAATATATCCTTTGCCGTCAACATCCTCAGCCAGCATGTACCACAACCACACAAAGAACATTTTGATGCAGCTCTGCGGGTAGTACGGTACCTCAAAGGCACACCTCTCCATGGAAATTTTCTCCCTTCCAATAGTGACCTCATTCTATGAGGATTCAGTGATTCAGATTGGGCCAGTTGTCCCATCACTTGCTGATCCACCACTGGCTATCTCACAATGTTGGGCTCTTCCCCACTATCTTGGAAGACAAAGAAACAACCAACCAACCGTATCCCACTCCTCTGCAGAAGCTGAGTATCGTGCCATGGCTAGCACTACAACAGAACTTGTGCGGCTTCAACGTCTCTTGACTGATTTGACCATCATTCTCTCGTCTCCACTCAACTACATTGTGATGGTAAAGCTGCCTTGCACATTGCTGCCAACCTGGTGTTTCATGAGCACACCAAACATATTGACATTGATTGCCACTTCATTAGGGAGCATATTCAAAATGGTTCACTCCAGACATTTCACCTCTCCAACAACTGTCAGCCAGCAGATCTTCTCACTAAGGCCTTGAGTTCAGACAAATTTCACCATCTTCTCTCCAAGTTGGGCATCTCAGTTCTCTATGCTCCAACTTGAAGGGGGGGGGGGGGTATTGGTGTATAACAAAGCGTTCTAGAATTCTTGAACTAATCAAGCATTCTAGAATTCTTGGACTGATTGTCCAGTTGGCCCACTTATCTTGCCACTTGTTCAGTCTGTTGAGACAGTTAGCAAGTATTTATAAATACTTGATTCATGAAGTGAAAATAATCAATTTGCTCTGCTCACTCCGATACCTGTTCACATTAGAAAACGTTTTTTTCCTTCAGAATTTAGATTTTCTTACTTTTAAAACACTAAAAAAATGTTATTCCCTGAATTTTTTCACTATATTTATTGAAAATTATAAGTTACGTGCTAGTATGATCCTTTAGTCCTTTGTTGGTTAAAAATTTTGCATGTAATATTGTTTTGCTTGACTATATGAATATATATTTTTTTTTGCAGGACAAAAATGAAGTACAACATCGAATATCTATCTTACTCTTTGTTGGTTTCACTTGTGGCATGGGAATGCTTTTCTTTACAAAGTTCTTTGGTTCATGGTTATTAACTAGTAAGAAGATGTGGGCTTTTTGATTATGTCTTCATGATGGAACACTGGATTTAAGTTATCTGAACTTCTTTTTCCCCCATAAAACTAAGCCAGATAGAGGAAAGGATACAAAGAGAATCTTGTTTCATGATTAATGTATATGTTTCTCTGTTGTTGGTTCAGCTTTTACTGGTCCAAAGAATTTGCACATAGTACCTGCTGCAAACACATATGTTCAGGTTTATTTACTATCATGTTAACTCTTTCAATAATGCAGACAATGTTTCTTTCTTTTCATGTGCTAATTACATTTTTTTTTCCTTTTGATAAGCCATGTTAACAAAGAGAAAACAAACCAACTTAAAAGAACAATCAAGCTTAAATAGTCAGCTAGGCTTCTACCATCTACGTTTTTTTTTTTTTGTTCTCAACTAATCCAGTCATTTCTTGATTAACGGCTCTTATTCTTTTGGTAGATTCGAGGTTTAGCATGGCCTGCACTTCTTGTTGGATGGGTTGCTCAAAGTGCAAGGTATGGATGTCAGGTTATTTTCTTATTATCATGTGGTAACTATTTTCCATGTTGGTATCTCCCCACATCATTTTGTTTTGGTATGAATGCATGAATCTAGGTCCCTATTCCACCTAAAATCAAAACATTTTGTTGGGAGGCGATTTACTTGAAGATTAATAATTGTGGAGTTTTGTAAAAAAGAAGCCCTAGCAACTCATATAAAAAAAGAGGCCTAGCAGTTGTCTCTTGCCTTGCATTTGTCTCTTATGTGAATCAAGTAGTGAGAGTACCTCTCATTTTCTAATCTCTTGCCCTTACACTTCTAGCATTTGGGAGTATATCTTTAACTTTTGTGGTTATAGATTGAATCCTGTTGATTGCGTGAAGAGTCTTTGAAGACTCATTTTTGAAGCCTACAGAATGAAGAGGGAAGATACATGCTAGGGTGGCAGTATTATGGACAGTATGGGAAATGAGGTATGAGTGGATATTCAAGGAAGAATTCCACAATAAAGAGGCTGCAATGGAGAATTTAGTGAATAATATAAGAGGATGGTCTCACATGGCAGATTCCTCAACAAGAAGGATGGCTTACTATGCCTTCTGGATAACTCCACCCCCTATCACAAAATAAAACTGAATTTTGATGGAAGCAGTTTGGGAAATCTAGGGAATTCAGGCCTTGGTGGGATCTTTAGAGATTGTAATGGTACAATCTTGGCTTTGTATATAGGACCCATATACCAAGGAGACTCACTAAGGGCAGAGCTGTTTTCTGTCCATAAGAGGCTTAAGTTGGGCAAAGCCACTAAACTTTAGGCTATATTTGGTTTGAAAGAAAAGGCAGGGAAACCTGTACAAGGTTTGTTTGTACAGGTTTCCCTACCTTTTCTTTCAAACCAAACACAGCCTTACGGATGTCATTGAGGAAGGAGGTTCCTGAATAGCGAGCGAGACTGCAAGAGTGACAAGAAAACAACATGTCGGGAGGTATAGCTCGTGGATGTCTCACCGAGGAGCAAAAAGCCTGGCATAAGAATCATCCTCATGGTTTCGTTGCTAAGCCAGATGGTTCTGTTAATTTGATGGTGTGGCACTGTACAATCCCTGGTAAGCCTGGGACTGGCTGGGAGGGTGGCTACTTCCTGATTACACTCCATCTCAGTGAAGACTACCCTAGTAAACCACCGAAGTGCAAGTTCCCTCAAGGCTTCTTTCACCCCAATGTCTACCCCTCAGGAACTGTGTCTATCAATTCTCAATGAAGACAGTGGGTGGAGATCGGCTATCACAGTGAAGCAAATTCTTGTGGGCATACAGGATTTGCTGGACCAGCCAAATCCCGCAGATCCTGCACAAACAGATGGATATCAACTTTTCATTCAGGAACCAGCTGAGTATTAAGAGAAGGGTCTGACAGCAGGCGAAGCAATATCCACCTCTTGTCTAAGATGGATATAAACTTTTCATTCAGGAACCAGCTGAGTATTAAGAGAAGGGTCTGACAGCAGGCGAAGCAATGTCCACCTCTTGTCTAATGTTGCTGCTGACCTATGCTGGTAAAGATAATTGGTACATTTGTTGGTCTTTCTTATGTGTTTAAAGACTGCATGATATGTGTTTTTTTTGGGGTATGTGAAATGCTTATGATAGTGGACAAACTTTATTGACAATAGATAAACTTAACAGAATAAATGGGAAAAAGGATGCTTGATTGCTATTCATTTTAGTAGAGAGTTCTCATTGTCCTTGCAATGGTTATTATGGTTTGTTAACTCTCCTTTCACCTGATGGATCTGATGTATGTGGTCTGGCTGTGAAATAGTGTTATTATGGTTTGTGGCCTAAAAAAAGGAGGTTCCTGAATAATAGTAAGCTGCTTATTGAAGGCAATATTTCAATGGACTAGAAGAGGGGTATGGTGATATGGAGAATAACAAGAGCAGCAATCCTCTGGTCAGTTTGGGAAGAAAGAAATAACAGGATTTTCCAAGGGAGAGAAAAAAACAAAAGAATTTATAGAAGGCATTACCATCAAGGTCATTCACTGGCTGAAATCTCTAGATCTCTTCAAGGACTTCTCTTCAGACGACTTGATTAGAGGTTGGAGTACAGTAGCTGTTTCTTCATTTTCTTCTCCCTCTATGCATGAATCTTGCCCCCCTCCTTTACATTGTAGGGTGAAATTGAACTTTGATGGGAGCTCTGTAGGGAACCCAGGTCCTTCCAGAATTGGGGGTGTTTTTAGAGATGAGGAAGGAAGAGAGGTGGCCCTCTTTTTGGGCCCAATTGGGGTAGGAGATTCTCTAAGGGTAGGAGATTCTCTAAGGGCAGAAGTGCCAGCTTTACTCCAAGGCCTTAGATTAGCTACACAATGGGGACTGCAACAGCTGGTGATCGGCTGGTTGCAAACAGGAAGCCTGGGTACTTGGTCTTTCAGGCAGCACACGTAAGGGAAATTATGTCTTTATCTCAGGAGCTTGGGGTGCAGGCCAGGTGAACTAGAAGATCAGCAATCCTCTAAAAAATAAAATGTGAACAAAGAAGGGAGTGATCTTGCATCAATTGAAGTTGTTTCATCAAAATGTTTTCTTTTAGATATCTTCTCAAAAAGTTAATGGAAAATCTAGTAGTATGTTATATTTTCTCGGTATCTCTCAAATGTTAACCACACTTTATGTCATTGTGCATATTTGGAGATAAGATAGCAAGCTTGGAATCTTATTGTAGGGAATGGCTTATAGCAAAGCTATGTTACAGAGGTTGTTGTTCATTGGTTTGCAAGTGACATGGATGTAGAAAAGATGGAAGTCATGACTTACATAGGCAGCATTAGCACATTTCACACCCCTTTCCATCTTACTCCAGAAAAATTTAAATTCCCCATGCCATAATGTAATAGTAAAAGCAAAGTACAATACTGTAACTTTTTAATATAATAACATATTGCGTTCTTTTTCCTTTATGTCTTTCATGGTATTATTATTAAAGAAGATAATTGAATATTATATTATAATTTAAACCCTAAATTTACTTCCAGTGGGTGATTACCATAAAATTTTGTTAAGAAATTACAATTCATCACCCAAAACTCTCATAAAAAAAATAATTCATTGATTGGGTTTTGGGGGGTACACACTTGATCCCAATCCTAAAACAAATTTAGTCTAATTGATGTAGGTTCCAAAGGATCTCACATTAAAAGTTAAAGATGAATTGCTTGGACTTGAAATAGAAATTAGAGAGAAAGCATCCCATGTAAATCTACATGCATCCAGTATTTTGGGTGTTATAATGTGATCAATTGCCCTGATTTTGGTATCGTTTGAAAGTTCATCCAATTATCTCTCCAACAAGTCCAAGATCATGCAACTTGGACATGAATTGAGCAAGTTATGATCAACATGTGGACAGATGATGAATCTGTAATTAGTTTTTTTTTTCTTTTTTTTTTTGTGGCTTTGAGTTAGGGTGCTAATAGTTTTAAGATTTAGTGTTATAGGTTTTGGTTCAACAAGTTGCTTTGGAAATGTCGCTTACCAAAATATAGGACATATGTCGGAAATGTCGGAAATGTCGAGGGGAAATATTGTAAAAATTAGAGACATTGTGGAAATATTATGAAATATGTGGAAATATGCAAAGAGATTTTGTAAAATGATAAAAGAAGCATTAATACATATTTCTAGACTATTATCTTTTT